TTTCCTTAGCATTTCCTGGGCATTCGCTCTTACGGTGTCCCGGCCTGTTGCACACGAAGCAGCGCCCTTTGAATGGTGCGGCAGCAGCATTCGCGGCAACAGCGCATATCGTGGCGTGCTCGTTCGTCCCATGAGACTGATCTCCTCGGTTGTTGTTGTTGCCGTAAGACACTGGTCTCGGTCGGCGTAAAAAGTCAAGATTCTCCGCCATAGCGAGGATGTCCTGGAATTCGGTGACGTTGCGAAGCTGGATTTCTTGGGAAATTTCTTGTTTCGGGCCGCCGATGTTGCGGTCAATGAGTTCTCCCTAAACATGTAGCCCACATGCTCGCATAACACCAAAAACCCGCTTGTGTAGTCTTGGACGGAATTGAGCTGTCGCCAAGTGTGGAACTTCTGGCGCGCCGCGATCGAAGCTGCGATTGGCTCGAGCCGTGCGCGTAGACCTGCGCACCACGCATTCCACGTGCGATATTGGGGCACCTCCATCAAATACGATGGCGCCCAGGGTCCGGTTTGTCCTTCCCGTATTGGTAGAGTCTCGTAGTTCACCGGCTTCGTGACGATGACGCGCCACCAGCCCATGGCGAGTCCTCGCAGCAGCGACACGGCGTATCGAATCTTCGCCGAGTCCTCCGAGACGTAGTTGGCGTTGAAGAAAACGTTCATCGTGAACAACCATGCCTGAATGGTCGGACGATCCTGTTGGCTGGGATCGAAGCAAGGCGGACACTGCGGCTTGACTGGCATCGGCGACGGTAGTGCTGACTCGCCGGCCGACACCGAAATCGTGATGCGCGGTTGGCTCCTGGCCGCATTCGTCGCTTCGGGATGTGTCGCGCCGTGGTCGTCGTCTCCGTCGTTGCAGGCAATGCCACCACTAGCTGCACTCGAGATTTGCCTCATGCTTCCGTGTTGCGAAGCTTGTTGTACTGCTTGTCCTTGTGTGCCTTGTGCTTGTGATTGTGCTTGTTGCGCCCGTGCGACGTCGTTTTGCAGCGATGTACGTTCTGCCGTCAACGCCGCGATTTCCTCAATGTTTTCGTGCAGCTACTGCAGCATGTTGTTAAGGCGCTCCTGCATGAGTGTTGTGACGTTGATATGCTAAGCCATGTTGAAGGGTGGCAGCTCGACTTAGCTCTAGGCATAGACGTGGCTGCACAAGAGAACGCGAGGACAGCGGCTCCTAGGTGCTAAGGGGAAGTGAGTCCCTTTGAGTGCAAAAATCAAAATTAGATTTCTCTGGGTGCGCAGATAAGCGGTGTGCGAGAAAATGGCTCTGAATACCAAGTCTTACGGGTGCAATGGAACGAGATACTAAGGATTGAACTAGGTATCAAACGATTTCAAAGTATGAGCGAATGCATGCTTTGGTAAAACAGTGCGCACGAAGTTGGCGAAGCCCCGTTAGCATTAACGGGCGAACAACGGCAGCTTCTGTACGCGATGTTGAAGAACGCGGTAAGGAATGTAAAAAAATCCTTACGCTACTATACACTACACATTTCCATAAACAACCAGAACTGTACTACATTTATCAAAGCTGTAATTCGCCAAATGGCATTGACTTTTTTTTTTCTTCTAATTACACTCTAAACCTCATCATCCTTTTTTGCAGTGCAAGATTCCTGATTCTGTAAGGGCCAGCGCATCGTTGATTTGCCACAACTCTCTCAAAGTTACGCAAGCGGAATTGTATCACTAGATTGGGGTACAAATATCTTACCCTAATGGATGTACCTCACATAGCACAACCCACTACAATCTGCAACAATAGACACACCCTCGTAGAATAAGTGAGGGATGCCAAGCATCAACAAGTACAGAAGGTCACCAGATCACTAAAAAAATCACAATAGCACAAAGCGCTGGGTGGATCACAAAATCATCACACAGTCTGAGCAAAAGCAAATGGCCACAAGGCCAGTTCAAGAGTTTGCATATATATACGGTACAGAGACAGGCAAAGTAGACCAAGACTACAGCAACTGAGAACTCGTCTCAACAAGGCCCAACTACACACAGAACCTGTGGTGGTCACCAGGTGGAACGGCCTTGGTGAAAATATCTGCAGTGTTGGCCTCCGAGGGCACGAAGTCCAAGCGTGCTTGCCCACGTCGCTGCAACTCTCGAAGGATAAAGTACCTCACGTCGATCATGGCCTTGTGGTCAGTGAACAAGGTCGATGCAGAGCTCGGCCGCTCACTAATGTCAGTGAGCAAGAAGGTCAAACAGCGAAGCTCCTGCGCAGCCATGGCTCCGGCATAGATCTCGGCCTCGGCGCTAGACTGTGCCACAAACGAGGACCGAGTAGACCTCAACGACATAAGGCCAGAGCCCAAGCTGAAGCAGTACCCCTGAGTAGACCTGTGGGTCTCGATGTCGTCGGCGTAAGAAGAGTCGTAATGACCGTTCAGCACAACTAAGTGTGTCCCGTGTCGGATGCCATAGGCTCTCTTCCTCAGAAACTCTCTCATCTTCTCCTCCTTCCCATATTCTCTCCTTTCCTGCTTATGCCGCTCCTTGTACCAGGTCTGTATCTCCCAAGTAGTGCTCTACTATCCTGCTGCTTATCTTATTCCCTCCTCCTGCATCTTCTTACAAAATAGTCACTGATTCAACAAGTTCCTCCACTCTGGGAAGGTTGTGCTAGGGAATTTAGCGCAGACCACTCCAATACTATGAAAAAACAAACAAACAAGGAGTATAGGTGTGCTAGCTAGCTATGTACAAGCAAGATTCATGCTACCCTCCTAGTTTTCTGCTGTAGGATGGTGAGGGGCCACACACGCAGAACAACGAGCACACAGCATCCGGCATGCAAGCTATCCAGATCGTAGAAAACATCCCACCTATGTACTAACCACTTGCCCACTTCCGAGACCGGCCTGGCTCCTGCTGCTAGTCATTAGGAGCCTCTCTTATCTTGGTCCCAGTAGCCCTCGCCACATTGGTGATGTGGTCGTTCCTCTGCTGCCTTTTTCTGATTCTAGCACCAGCACTTCTGAGGGCCACACTTCTTTCACCACCCACCATTCCGTCGACAGCCCTACGTCCAATAAATCCTTCTTTGCCTCTTCAATATGAATCTCTGTTCCGCCTTCCACTACTTTCCCTTTTCCCTTGCCAGTCTACAGCTGGCGTTGCAAATATTGCTTCGCGTCTCTCAGCTGCGCGGTATGCAGAATCTCCAGGGCAGAGGGCAGTAAATCTGTCAGATACCTCGCCCTGCAGTCTGCCAGTGCTGCCCAGTTCTCTCGCGTCCCAGCTTTCACCACTTCTGTTAGCACCTTGAGAGCACCCACTGGCAGCACAGGATCTTTCCCGTCTAGCAAGTAGTAAGGAGAGTAGTCCCTCAGCGCCGCCTACTTCCTAAATCCGTAGCCAGCTATCACCTAGTGATGCTCCTGGTCCCAATCCTGAGTGTGCTCTTCTTCGTATGCGCATAGGCCCCTTTTGATTGTCTGCACCATTGAATGCGAGTGGTACCTAGAGGCACGCCAGTGGGTGCCCTATTCTTTCAGCAGCTTGTCAAATGCTCCTCAAAGTTCCATCCCTTGGTCGGTCAGAACCTCTCCGCACGCGCCGTACCTCGTCAACACCTGGTCCGTGAACGCCTCTGCAATCAGTTCGGCGCTCTTACTGCTTATCGACCTCACTTCCACCCACTTGGATACATGCTCCATCATTACCAGTACGTACCGCTTGTTTTTCCTGATCAACAGGATTTCTCTCGCCAGGTCCAGGGACTACCTGTATCCCAAGTCTCGGGTGGGAAAAGTCTACAGCTCCTGCTGCTTTCGCTTCAGATGGGCCTTATTGCGGCAGCACCACTCACATTATGCCACCACCTCCTTCACTTCCTTGTGCATTCCTGCCCACTACCATTGTGTCATGAGCAGCTTGGCGGTCCCGTGCCCATAGTGCCCTAGGTGGCTATGTACTTTTTCTATCAGGGCTCTCCTCTCTCCAAGCGTAGGTAACAACTTCTATCCTTCCTTATTCTGCACTTGTAGCTGGTATTGGTACCACCTGTAATGCTGCTCGCGGGCTCGGGCGTAATCACTAACATGTTCCTCCGCTTTTGTCTCTCCTTTCACCCAACGAAGCACCTCTGCTTCTCTCCACACATCCTTTGGCCCTTTTTCTTGATGCTTCGCGGCGTCAGTCTCGCGCATGCTGCTCGTCAAGGCCACTAGGCAAGCCGAAGGTTATCCTACTTCTGCCGGCGGCGGGTTCCTCGAGAGCCAATCCTCATGCTGATGCGTCTTCCCTGGACAATGTCGGATCTTGAAGTCGTACTCCTGCAGCCGCAACGTCCATCTTGCGTTCCTACCAATCAGCGCCCAGGTGAGGGGTTGGTGTTCGGTGACCAGCGTGAAGAGACTTCCTTGCAGGTACACCCTGAAGTGGTTCACCACCCACACCGCCGCCAGCCCTTCCCCTTCGTAAGAGCTGTAATTTGCTTTGGTGGGACTACAGCTCCTGCTTGCGAAGGCCACCACTCTCTCTCCTCGTTCCGTCTCCTGGCATAGGACCGCTCCGATGCCTTGGCTGCTCCAATCTGTGTAGAGCACAAACGGCTGATCCCTCCTCGATAGCACCAGCACCGTCCCGGTCTTCACCGCTCTTAGTAGGTCCTTCAGTGCCCGATCCTCCTCTGCTCCCCATTTCCAGGTGTTGCTTTCCCTTAGGAGCTAGTTCAGGGGGGCTGCCCTCTTGCTGAAGTTCGGAACGAACTTCCGATAGTAGTTGAGGAAGCCCAGTATGGCTCTCAGCCGACTCCGGTCTGTGGGCATACCCACTTTGTCCAGGATGGCCACCTTCGCCTCCTGAGTGGACAGCGTGCCCTCCAATACTTCGAACCCAAGGTACTTCACCGTCCTCTCTCCAAACCCGCACTTTCTCGGATGGCAATCAGTCCCCCCTCCATGATTGCCCCCCTGCCTGCACGCCGCGCTGCTGCGCGCCTCTGCCCTGCTAGCACGCCGCGCCGCCGCATGCCCCTGCCCTGCCCGCGCGCCGCGCCGCGCGCCCTGCTCTGCCCGCGCGCCGCGCCGCCGCGCGCCATACCTCGCCCGTGCGCCCTACCTGAGCGCCACGCCCTCCCTTGCCGTGCGCCCTGCTCTGCCGTGCGCACCCTACCCTCCTATTAAACTGTTGCTAGCATGCTGCTCTACAGCTAGCGCGCCCGACTGCTCTGCGTTCTATGGCCACTCTCAACATTCTCACCTTCGATTCGGAGGGCCGCCTGATAGAGTTCAATGCATAGCTAGACGACTTACAGCTGTTCCTGGTGACAGACTCCAAGGACGGTAGTTCGCTGTTTGACCTCACTTCTGGCGCCTCGCCCGCCCCTGATGCCACAGCTGACAGTACAACCCGCTCACAGTGGCTTACCCATGACGCTGCTGCTCGCCTAGCCATTCGCAACCACCTGTCATTAGCCGAACGCGCCCACTTTGGCCAGCATAAGACAGCAAAAGCACTGTACGACGCTGTAGTCGCTCGATACTCCTCCCAGGCCACTGCTTCTCTAGGCCGACTCCTCCTGCCCTACCTGTTCGCAGAGCTGTCCGCCTTTGCCATAGTAGCCGATCTAGTCACTCACCTCCGCACTAGTGACACGCGCTACCGTGCTGCGCTCCCCGCCGAGTTTCTCACCAAGAACCCCCCCCCCCCATGTACATCACGCTACTTCGTAGTCACCCACCTCCCAGACTCTTACTGCAGTCAGGGACCTCCTCCTAGCACTTGACCCCACCGACCTCACTGTCGACTTGCTTGAGAAGCACCTCCTAGCAGCTGAGACTAGCATAGTCGCTGTAGGCGCTTCTCGTGGCACTCCTCGCACCCCCTTCTTTGAGGGGTGTTCGCCCTCCCCCCTCCTCCCCTCAGTCGCCTCTGCTGTAGCTGTTGACTACCTTCGTGCTGAGGAGGTAGGAGCTGCGTCTGCCCCTAGTGGGAGGCGCCGCAGCGGCAAGGGCAGGGGAGGCAGGAGCAGTGGGGGTGGCAGAGGTGGAGGCGGTGGTGGGGGCGGTGGAGGAGGTGGAGGGGGCGGCGGTGGGGGAGGTAGTAGTGGTGGGGGTGGAGGGGCAGGTGGCGGCGGTGGTGGCGGCAGTGGGAGTGGTGGAGGCGACGATGGTGGCGGCGGTGGTGGCAGCAGTGGGGGTGGAGGCGGCGGCAGTGGTGGAGGCCGGGGTGGTACCAGCCAGAGGGGAGGCCCTGGAGGTGGCCAGAGGCAGCAGCAGCGTCAGCCCCTCTCGTCTCAGGAGCTCCGTGAGTGGTTTGCTCAGCATGGGGCTGCTGGGGGTAGTGGTCCCTGCCGGTATGTCATTCGCACAGGTGACCGCACTGGTCAGACATGCGGGAGGTTTCACACTCAGCACCGCTGCTTTTACCGCCTTACCGACGCCTTTTGCGCAGAGTTTCCTAATGCACCTGAGCTCCCCAACTGGGCGGAGATGCTTAAGCAGAATGTTGATATCTTTGCTCTAGACTTTGATGCTATCCTATCTGCCATGTATGCATTGACTGTTAGTGCTGAGGGTGACTGTTACCTGTGCATGCCGCCAGACCCAAGTATAGAGGCTGTTGCTCTAGGTGCTAGTGAGTCCGCTGCCCTAGGTGCTGGTGAGTCTGCTCTCTCTTGTACTGCGTCTGCTGCGGCCCTACACACCTTCACGCTTGACTCAGGTGCTTCCCGCTGTTTCTTTCGCGACAGTACCACCGTCACACGGCTCTCTGCACCTGTTGCTGTCTCTTTGGCTGACTCCTCTGGGGGCCCAGTCCTTGCACATTCCTTCACTGTTCTGCCCTGTCCTGCGATTCCGTCTGGGAAACTGTCACGTCTCCACCTCCCCTCGTTCTCTAAGAAATTGGTGAGCACTGCTATTCTCCAGGATGCGGGGGTTGACACCTTCACCCCTGGACGGTAGCATGTGGCGATCTGTACGTGTTCCCGGACCGGTCGCCACCTGGCCACGTTCACCCGTCGGCCTGGGTCGAGTCTGTACACACTGACTACTGCACTTCCTCAGGTAGCTGCGTCTGCGTCTGCGTCAGGTCAGCTTGCTGCCCCCTGCTCGTGTCGCGCCCTGTCGCACCAGACTCTCCTTTGGCACCACCGTCTTGGTCACCCCTCTATGGCACGCCTTCGTGGCATGCACTCCCGTCTCCTTGTCTCTGGTCTTCCCAGGTCTCTACCTCCCCTCCCACCCTCGCCTGCCCCTCCCTGCCTTCCCTGTGTCGAGGGGCGGCAGCGCACAGCTCTTCACTCTTCCTTGTTCCCCCGGACAGAGGCTCCCTTGCAGACTCTCCACCTGGACGTCTGGGGCCCAGCCCGCGTCCGTGGACAGGGCCATGAGCGGTATTTTCTGCTGGTTGTCGACGACTACTCGCGTTACACCACGATCTTCCCCTTGCGGCGCAAGGGGGAGGTTCCTGATGTTATGATCCCTTGGATCCGCGCTGTTCGTCTCCAGCTCCGCGAGCGGTTCAAGACGGACCTTCCAGTCCTGCGTCTGCACTCAGACACAGGTGGTGAGTTTTCTTCCGACCTCTTGCGGGCCTTCTGTCGTGCGGAGGGCATTCGCCACACGTTCACGCTTCCGGCCTCTCCGCAGCAGAATGGGGTTGCTGAGCGCCGCATTGGCTTAGTCATGGAGGTCGCTCGTACCTCCATGATCCATGCGGCTGCCCCCCAATTTCTGTGGCTGTTTGCGCGTGTACGATGCGCATCAGCTCAACCTCTGGCCCCGTGTCTCCTTGCCGGAGACCTCGCCCACACTGCGTTGGACGGGGGAGGTTGGCGATGCGTCGGTGTTCCGGGTCTGGGAATGTCGAGCCTTTGTGCGCGATACGTCCGCGGACAAGCTCTCCTCCCGCGCCGTTCCCTGTGTCTTCCTTGGCTTTGTCCCTGACGCGCCTGGCTGGCAATTTTACCACCCCACCTCGCGCCGTGTCCTGCCCTCTCAGGACGTCACGTTTGACAAGTGGGTTCCCTTTTACCGTCTCTTCTCCTACCGCACTGCCCCTCTCCCTCCCCCACCGCTCTTCCACGCACCAGGTCCTCCTCCGGTAGACCCCCTCCCCCCTCAGGGTCCTGCTCCCTCAGGTGTGTCCCAGGTAGACACTATCGAGCCTGTCAAGGTCGCTGTCGACTCTGGTGCTGCTAGAGGTGTTGCATCTGGGGGTGCTGAGCCTGCGGGTGTGGGGCTTGAGGGTGCTGAGCTTGAGCGTGCGGAGCCTAGGGGTGCTGAGACTGCGAGTGGGGAGCCTGGGGTTGCTGAGCCTGCGCGTGCGGAGCCTGGAGGTGCTGAGCTTGGGGGTGCTGAGCCCGAATGTGCTGAGCCTGGACGCCCTTCGGGTGTCTTGTAACGGTCGGAGTCACTCTCTTCACTGCAACTGCGCGAGTGGTTTGCTCGGCGCTAGAGCCTCCGGAGTGGTGCTGCTGGACCTGGAGGTGCTCGTACTTGAGGTGCTAGAGGTGCTGGAGCCGCTAGTCTCGGAGGTGCTCGTACTAGAGGTACTGGAGCTGCTGGGGCTGGAGGTACTGCTGGAGCTGCTGGAGGTGCCGGTGCTGCTGGAGGTAGTGGAGCTGCTGGAGCTGGTGCTGCTAGAGGTGCTGCTGGAGCTGGAGCTGCTGGAGGTGCTAGAGCTGCTAGTCCCGGAGGTTGCTCGTGCTGGAGGTACTGGAGCTGCTGGGGCTGGATGTACTGCTGGAGCTACTGGAGCTGGAGGTGCTGTTGGAGCTGGAGCTGCTGGAGGTGCTGCTGGAGCTGGAGCTGCTAAAGGTGTTGGAGCTGGAGCTGTTGGAGGTACTGGAGCTGCTGGAGCAGGAGGTGCTTCTAGAGCTGGAGCTGGAGTTTCTGCTGGAGCTGGAGCTGTTGGAGGTACTGGTGCTGTCGGTGCTGGTGCTGGAGGTGCTGTGCGGCCGCGACCGTACTTCGTTCCGCTGCTTCAACAGGTTCTTGGTCTCCCGCCTTCTGCTAACCTTGCTCCTCCCTTCATGTGTCCATCGTCTGACAAGTCCCAGCCACAGCTACTGCCAGCCTCCCCGCTGCCTGCTCCTTCTCCGTACACTGAGCAGCCCGGAGGTCTTAGTGCGCGTCGTGAGCCTGCGTCTCGTCCTGTCTCGCCTGTTCGCACGCGTCGCACTGGTCGTCGTGTTCTGCGTCCGCGTCCTCCTCCTGTCCCCGGCACGCACCAAATGGCACTTCGTCCTTTCTCTGTTCCACTGCGTGTCCCTTTGCCGTCTCCTCCTGCGTCCTCCCTTGCTGACGGTCCAGATCCGGAGTCTGAATCCCTTCGTGCTGCTAGTCCTACTGTCACGCGTCTCCTGGCCACTGTTGTCAGTGACCCTTCCTTTGAGTCCACTACTGCGTTTGCCTTAGCTGCTGAGCTTGTCGACTTTGCTGCTCGCTGTCGTCTAGACTACGCCGCTAGCCTTGTTGTTGAGTCCTATTCTCTCTGTCCTCCGTCCGTCGGGGGTGAGTGTGCTCTTGGCACGGACGTCCTTGAGGAAAGGCAGGAGGACTTTGAGTGTTTTGCCGCTGCTGTACCTCATCTCGTGTCCATGGTGCTTGCACCTTAGGGAGACCCGGATGCACCAGACATCCCGACCCCGCGCTCTTACGCAGAGGCGATAGAGGGTCCCTACTCCTCTTAGTGGCAGTTAGCCATACACGCAGAGATGGCATCCTGGAAGTCCACAGGCACCTACGTCGATGAGGTTCCCCCACCTGGGGCGAACATTGTCAGTGGCATGTGGATTTTCTGGGTGAAGCGGCCGCCGGATTCTCCGCCTGTCTTCAAGGCGCGTTACCAGCACGGGAGGACAGCTTGTCCGCGGAAGAATCGCGGAGAAAATCTCAAGATCCCCAGACACGGAACGTAGACGCATTGCCAACCTTCCCCATCCACCGTAGAGCAGGTGTGGTCTCCGGCATGGAGACACGGGGCTGGAGGTTGAGCTGATGCGCAACGTACTGAACCGCGAACGGCCACAGAAAATGGGGAGCAGCCGCATGGATCATGGACGTACGAGCGACGTCCATGACCATGCCAATGCGGCGCTCAGCAATCCTATTTTGCTGTGGGGAGGCCGGAAGCGTGAACGTCTGGCGGATGCCCTCCGCCCGACAGAAGGCCCGCAGAAGGTCTGAGGAAAACTCTCCACCTCTGTCGGAGTGCAGACGCAACACAGAAAGGTTCGAGGCGAAACTTTTGCGAAGCTGGCGACGGGCAGCGCGGATCCAGTCGATCAGCACCTCAGTGACCTCACCCTTGCGGCGCAAGGGGAAGACTGTGGTGTAACGCAAGTAGTCGTCAACGACCAGAAGAAAGTAACGCTCGTGACACTGTCCACGGACGTGGGCTGGGCCCCACACGTCCATGTGGAGAGTTTGCATGGGAGTTCCCGTCGGAGGGAACTCGGAGGAGTGAGGAGCGGCGTGCTGCCGTCCCTCAACGCAAGGAACGCAGGTAGGGGCAGGCCCCAGGGGGAGGGGAGGGAGAGATCGGGGAAGACCAGTGACAAGGACACGGGAGGCCATACCTCGGAGACGAGGCAGGGAGGGGTGACCAAGGCGGTGGTGCCAAAAGAGAGTCTGGAGGTGACGAAGTAGTGGAGGGCTCTCGGTGACGACACACGTGACGGCGGGCGGGATTGCACCGGCGTATGGCTACTTCAAGTTCTCGCCGGACCGGATCACCGTCGCACCGCTGCAAGGTCGACGGAACCTCATCATCTGGAGGGAGTCGATTGAACCTCAGCTAGAGGTCGCCGGGCTGAAGGGCTTCGCCGATGGCACCGTGCCATTTTCGCCCGAGGAGGATGTCGAGCTACGCGGGGAGTTTCGTTCTGCTCACCTGCTCACCTTCATGGTCATCTCGAGGTGCTGCTCGCCAGTGGTGCAGCTAGCGCTCAGGAGCTGTCGAGAGCGACTGGATGCTGGTCACCAGGCATGGCACTTCATCATGTCGACGTACCAGACAGGGGACGACCTGTACATCGGACAGCTAGAGGAGAAGATGACTCACATTCGAATGGGCGAGCAGGAGTCGGCGACGGACTACTGCAACCGAGCTCGACGGATCCTAGCTGAGATGAGGATGGCGGGCGCCGAATACTCGACGGCGTCCTACATCACCCACGTCCTCAAGGGCCTGCCGCGCAGCTACAACCTCATGAAGAGGTTTACGATGGTGCCCGGCACACGTGAGTCCCTCGACGAGGACTCCCTTACTAGCTACATCCTCCAGGATGAGGCGATGCAGGAGGCAGAGCAGCCCACGGAGTTCCTTCCGCAGGCGAGTTACGCTGCACCGACGAAGCAGAATTCTCAGCAGGAGCAGCGCGGGAAGCCAGGCGGAGATGGTAGCGGAGGTGGGCGGTCGACGAAGGACGTCGACGAGAAGAGGTCGACGCGGGACAAGGGTCGACGAGGTGGTGGTCGACGTCGGGAGTGCTGGATCTGCGGCGACCCCGACCATCTCTCCTTCGAGTGCCCCAACCGCGATGACAGCGACGAGGACGACAACAAGGGAGGCCGCGGTCGATCGGCCAGTCGTCGCCCCCGTCGAGTTGAGAAGCCGCGCAAGGAGAAGCAAGCGTCGAAGAAGACGTCGTCGACGAAGGACGTCGACAGCTCCAGCGGCAAGAGCCGAGGCGACGGGGAGGCGTCGTGCTCGATGGTCGGCGTGGTGGAGCCGACGGTCTCGCTAGCACCGGAGGCTGGCGAGGACTTCCAAGCGGTGGCAGCAGCTGTTCAGGCCAACCCAATGGCGGTGCTGCTCGACAGCGGGTGCTCCCACCACCTGATGGGGACGAAGTCGGTCTTCGTCGACATGGGGCCGAGCGACGGAGTGAAGCACGTGCGTGGGTTCAACGGGGCATTACAGTCTGTCGAGGGTCGTGGAACTGTCGCTCTGCAAGGGGAGGCCGGGAAGCGGGTGCTCATCCCCGACGTGCTCTACGTTCCGGGTGTTCAGGCGAACCTGCTGTCAGCCGGCCAACTGAAGGAGAGCGGAGTGCAGCTGCAGGGTGACGGCGACGAGATGCTGCTCGTTGCTACGACCGGGGAGGTGCTCGGTCGAGCACGCTACACCGGACGAGTCCTCTGCACCGACCTTCGCCCCTGCTCGACGCAGTCGCCGTCGACCGAGGTGGTGGCTCTGTGGACGATCGTCTCGGCGTCAAAGGCGACCCCTGATCGGCTGCATGCGAGGCTCGCGCACGTCGGCGTCGACACGATCAAGAGCTCGGCAAAGCATGGAGTTGCTGTTGGGCTCGACATCACGTCGTCGACCGGAGCAGATTCGCCGTGTGTCTCGTGCATCGGAGGAAAGCTGGCGCGGTACACCTTCCCTGCCAAGGGCTCGGACGCAGCGGAGGCGCTGGCTGTCGTGCACATTGACTTGTGCGGGCCATTTCGAGTGGCTGCCAAGGATGGCAGCTTGTACTTCCTGCTGCTGAAGGATCGCCATACTCGATTTGTATGGGCAATGCCGGTCGCTAGGAAGAGCGACGTGCTGCGGGAGTTCCAGCGGTGGCTGGTGCTGGTGGAACGGCAGACGAAGAAGTCGGTGCCGTCGCTTCGCTCCGATCGAGGAGGGGAGTTCCTCGGGAAGGCGTTCACCGACTTCGTCGACGGAAAGGGCATCGTCCACAACCTGACGTGCCCCTACACTCCGCAGCAGAATGGCATGGCTGAGCGGGAGATGCGCATGGTCGTCGAGTCCGTGCGGACGATGTTGCTGCACATGGGCGTGCAGCACCACTGGTGGCACCTTGCACTACGACAAGCTGTCTGGGTGCGCAACTGCTTGGAGCGGTCGACGACGCCGCCGGGGACGACTCCGTACCAGCTGCTGACCGGGCGGAAGCCCGACCTTACGCTGGCGCGGGTGTGGGGATGCATGGTGCAGTTCATGGTTCCCGAGCAGCAACGTGGTGGGAAGCTGGCGCCAAAGGCTCGCTGGGGACTTCACCTGGGTGTGTCGCCAGAGAGCAAGGGCTGGGAGGTGCTCGACCTGACCGACAACAAGGTGGTCACGTCGGTCAAGGTGATCTTCTACGAGACGCTGTCGCTGGAGGTGTGGAAGGCGAAGTATGGGCCGGCGTCGGAGCGGACGCAGGCGCACCCGCCAACGGATACATCGACAGCGACGGTTCCGTTGCTCGCCGAAGTCGACGAGCCTGGTGATGAGGATGTTGTGGAGGTTCTTTCCCCTC